ACAATTTGTTGTTAGAAATATCACTCTACTTATTAGTAGCATAATTTAATTGCAAAAATAACGACCGTCAGTGTAGAAACATAAATCAATCTTCTCCATTTGTTAAAAGACATTAATATTCCTACTATTAGACACAGTGATATATATACATACAAGATAACACCAGTTTGTATATACTTCTCTTCTAATTTTTAACAATGAATACTAACCAGATCAGACTACTGATAAGCAATAATAATAGCTTTGCATTAAAAATTATAGTAGGAATTTTCACTAGGATGATAATTTGTTATAAATTATTTCTCCTTCTTTTTTTCAATAAAACACTTTAATTCATACTTTAACTATGAAATAAAATCGTTTATACAGATCGATGAAACATAAATAAAGTGTACAGATAGGATAAATAGGCAGAAAGGATAATTTGAACTGAATTGAATACATAACACAGACAGGATACACTATGTAGAAACTTTGAAAAGACACACGCACGCACGCACAGACACACACATATGCACACACACAGAGAGCAATAACAAAAATGTAGTATGGATGCATACAAACAAACAAGCAATCACTCAGTTGGATACAATTTAAACTATGTAACTTTTATCCTCCTCATTACTGCTATTATGGCTACCTTTTTGCAAGAATATTGTTAATATTTTGTCTGATTACTGAAGAAACTAACAAGGAGGACTGTTTAAATAAAATTTAGACTAGTCTAATGCAAAGATGGGTAGAGAGAAATAGAGAGGTAGAAGAGAGAGAGAGAGTTGGAGTGGGAAAGAAAGACACAGAAAGGCAAAGACAGAGGGATACGTTGAAGGAATGAGACAGTAGATTAGAATGAGGTCTAATTTATATACGGACAGTTTTGTTCATTATTATAAAAGACTTTGTATTTCCCAATGAAAGTATCAAAGTATTATTAAACCAGAATTTACAAAGTCTCATGTTTCATATTATGTGAAATTATACAAAAGTTTACGATAATATTTCTGTGTGATATGCAGATATGTTTTTGCAATGAACTAGTTAGTCCTCTGCGATTCTACCTTCAATATATGTTTCAAATTAAAGTTGACTTCTACTTTAAGTTATTCTGTACGTCTCGTTTATTGATTTGTATCTGACTGAAATCCTCAGATTTTGCAGATATATCGGCTCCTAGTACAGACTCTTCGACGATGTCCGAAGATTAACATGATGTTATTTATAGCTGGTGGTGACTAGCAGTGAAATCCACATGTCAACAGACACCAGGTATATATGTCCAAACCAAGTTCACTTTTAACGGTTTGAAAAAATTTGGGCATTGGGTATATGATATTCATTATAATAATAAAGGTTTTTTGTATTTCCCAATGAATGAAAAACAAAACGATATTGTTTTTACTGACGTTTCGCTATTTAGTGCTAATAGCTTTATCAAAGTATTATTAAACCGGAATTTACAAAATCTCAGCATATATATATACAAAAACCTTTATTATAATGAAGACACCAGGTATCTCCGTACAGTGCAATCGATCAAAGAGAAATACGAATTATAACTGATCACAACATTCTAACAAATTACTTATTATAACTATAAGAACATTCGTCTTATTTCCCATCTAATTGTATTTGATCAATAACACTCATATTATTATCTCTAAATGTACATTATCTCATATTGATTTTTGTTCAAATATCTAGTCAATTCCATACATACATATAAATGAAGCAAGAAAGTTGTGTGAGTAACTTGATATGATTATGAGCAATAATTTGTGCTCGAAACGTCATCAGTTAATATTACTGTGTAACACTGTGTGATTTATCAAAATAAAATCTTATCCATAATGGAATAACTGACGAAGTGCGCATCCTATATCCTTTTGCTAGTCACTACCAACCAGATAGCAAAAGTTAACATTGTTTACTTTGTTTTGTTCTTTAAACCTGTCAACGTAATTTGACTTTTTATTGATGACTCATGTGCTTTTGTAGTAAACAATTCAAGGAGAAATTAAACTTTGGGCAATGAAAAGACACGAACGCACCAATGACCGAGGAATGCTTAGTCAGTAGGTTAATGAAACCAAGTAAACGACACTATATTCATGAGAAAAAGTCCGTGTAATGATTATATTTTTTTTTCCCTTGGGTTCCTAGTGGAACATAGGGCTTCAACTACACGTCTCCACTTGCCTTTGTCTTCTACTGTACTTTCCACTTGCATCCATGTTAGTCCCTACTGTTTCAACTCCTCTTCACACGATCTACTCCATGTCACCCTTGGACGTCCCACTCGCCAATTCCCTTTCGGGTTCCACTCGAGCACTGGCCTGACGCGCGATGTCACCCAGCGGCCTCCTCAGCGAGTGTCCAATCCATCTCCACTTTCTCCTACATATTTGTTGAGTGATTGGTTCTTGTTTTGTTTGTTCCCACAGTTTCTTGTTGGTGATTCTTTCCGGCCATCTGATCTTCAGTATAGAACGAAGACAGCTGTTGATAAAGATCTGCAATAGGCTGTTGGAAATATTCTTTGTGACCCGCCACGTTTCTGATCCGTATAGAAGGACTGACTGACTTGACGTTTGTATTGAAAATCCGGATTTTGTTGTTGATACTGAGTGACGAAGATTTCCAGATTGGTTTCAGGTTGATGAATGTGTTTCTCGCCTTCCAGATTCTCGATTTGACATCCTCGTCCGTTTCTCCTGTAGTTGAGACAATGCTCCCTAGATAAGTGAATGAAGTAACCTCTTTCAAATCCCTCCCGTTGATGGTGATCGGCGCTGGATGTTGCTGCTGTTGTTGTTGTTGGTTGGTTATTTTCATAACCTCCGTCTTGTCTATGTTCACCTGGAGTCCTGTTTTTGCTGCTTCTTCGACCAGTTTGTCGGTTTTCGCTTATAAGTCTTCTATTTTTTGTGACATCAAACATAAGTCATCCACGAAAAATGAAGTGTTATGATATTAATTAAACAGGATATCAGGTAAATTTTAGGTCAGGTTTGGGAAAGATTAAGATTAGATTAAGGAAAGATCAGGGTAAGAAGACTAAATTTACCTTTCAGCACTATGGCTATTTTCAAAGTCACTGATGCGTTCGTACCTCTTCAGTGCTTAAAGTTTAACTTCATTCAATTAACTAAACGATAGAATCTGGAGAATGACAAAGTATTTACCGTTAGTAGTATAATGGAGAAGATTTGTAGCTCAGGTGACTGACTTTGATGTAGTTGTGTTCTATATGCAGCTGGATGGTTTACTTGCGAAGCTTTCATTGCCTTACCAGGCGACATCTTCAGGGCATACTTCAATTTGAAGTGAGCTTTTAAATTTCTCCACGAGTTCATTAGTCATTTCTCTTGGTGATCTTGAACCTGACTAGTTACTTTAGTCTGTTTTCACGCCCTCTTTGTCTTCGCATCCATGAACACTAACTAGCCGTCAAAAGACATAATACCCACTCCCTCATATTGCTGCATACAGACAACGACGGATATCAATTCGACCGGGACAACGTCCAAATATTAGGCCGAGGAAACACCAAGAACGCTAGAGAATTTCTAGAAACCTGGTATTCCAGTGAATCAGCAATTAACAGGCACATTAACATAGGTAAAATAACCAACCCATAAGAGGAAAATCTCATGCACAAAATGCCAAACTTCAAGTCAAGGAAACAGTCAATATCAATATAAGTAGACTAGAGCTGTGGTGAGAGATGGCTGCTAGCCAAATTGGTAAACAGTAATTGACGTCAATGTTTATGTCTCAAATATTAGTCATGTGAAAACAAGATCAAAGAAGGACAGCAGACTTTGCATGGGCGGATACAATTAGCAGATAGATGATCTGACACTGAAGAGACAGCAACAAAGAGATGAAAGATTAACTTTTAGTGAGAAACAACCAATCAGAAAACTGTGTATGTCAGCTAACAATAATCTATAATAATGTACACGAAAATCTATAAGTATGTGTTGATTTTCATAATAAACAATCTGTTGCCTGAGTCTTGCCTTCTGTCGTTACAATTGGTGTCGCTGCCTCCGAACAATGAAGATCCCATGGCCAACTGCGTTTGAAGAAGGAGACATACGGAGCTTCTTACGTGACTTCGAGGCCGTTGCTGAGTTGGTGGGTGTCAAAGAGCAGGCGGCGAAGGCGGTTGTGCTGGGGACGCTGTTGAGAGGCCGAGCGAAGGCGGCATATGACAGCGTAGAGAGGTCAGATGGTACAGGGTCTTGGAAGACATTGGTTGAACGATTGGTGTCGGAGTCCGACAGTCCAACAGACAGACAGCTAGCATTGCAGCAGTTCCGTTCAACGAAGCTGGGACCTGATGGAGATCCGTTAGTGTTGGCGGTGAAATTGACGAATCTACTTCGACGTGCGCTTCCCACTTTGGATGAAGAATCAGAGGCGCAGTTGCTGAGTTCCCAGTTCATCGAGAGTGTCCCAGACCACATTTCTCAGCGATTACAACTGGTTAACGCTTTGCAGCCGATGGATATTAGTGAGCTGGCGAAGGTGACCAGACAGCTGCTGAGCACAACTGTAGCCGCTACAGAGCAACCAAAACCAAACGAATACGAGCAGAAAATTGAAGCGTTGCAGCGGGAAGTGGCGGCCAAGACAGCTTCGCAAATAAACCATCCAGCTGCTCAGAAAACACAACTATATCAAAAAGTTAGTTGTATGCCATGATCGACAACTTCATTTCACTTTCAATCATCACGCAATATATGCACAACAGTCCATCAACCGAGGACAATGTCAGATAGTCTCCCCATAAATTCTACGCGTGTAAGACTCATTATGCATGAACTTGAATGTAAGAAAATTGAAACCTTTATTCCTTATTTAAACTGATCAATATGAATGCATCAAGTAATAATTTAAAAATAATTCAAAACAATAATAATAATAATATTGTAATCATCAATAACAAAATTTCAAAAAGAAGAAAAATGCATATTTCATGCCGTTTGACTAACTTTCGTATTCGAAGTAGAATTGATGGAGTGCAAACGTATAATTGTTTAAGCCATTCTTCAATTGTTCTACGAAGGTGATCAATATTTGCTCCACAGGTTTTAGCTGCTTTCTCTAATTCAATAACATCACGTTCATAGATCTTCATAATTCGTCGGCGTTGAACTTCAAAATCATAACTTGATTGTCCTTTACGCATTGCAAATCTGATATTGTATATACATGTCCCATAGGACAAGAATATTTTAAAAAATGGGAATTTGATTTATACTTTAAGGTTGAATGTGTGAAACAAAAAACTTCTTCAAGTTGAGAGACTTAATTCGTTCACCATTCGGCTACTTGGGTCAGAATCCAACGGGATATGACTTCTAACTTCTGTCAATTAGTGGTATATAGCGCGACCGCCAGCTAATGTGAACGCCACTGGTCACTAATGAGCATCAGATTAATTCTCAGGAGTTAATTTGTAGCGATTTGATTTCTTTCATGTTTCATCACGGATTGATGTCAGATAGAGAACCATTGAAAACCAAGGAGTACTGGCCCACGTTGTTGAATGATCAACGAGTTTGGCTTTGGGTTCGATCCCCTTTTGGGGTCCTGGGTGCATACTACCGAAGAGTATCAAACTTGGACGAAATAGGTGACCAATACTTCCTGGTTTTCAATAGTACTCCAACTGACATCAATCCGTGATCGAACTTGAAACAGTCAGATCCCTACAAACTAACTATTGAAATGATTTTCTTTTAATAATAACATCACGTCCTCTATATGCTTACTGTAATCAAGGAATTCCATTTTCATGGTGATAACTTTCTCGAAGATACTTATTTACTAGTGGTGGAGGCTGTAAGTAAAATCCAGCACACGTGTTTCGTCATATTTGGGACTCATTAGTTGGATGTACTTACATTCGCAAAAAATAAATAAAATAATTAAAATTGCCTAAGGTGGGATTATTGATGAAACTGACGACCTATGTACGTCTGTGGTTCACCGGTAGAATACTCATCAACTATGCTCGTAATCAAGGGTTCGGTCCCCGGCCGACGAACTCATAAACCTAACTTAATCTGTAATCGGCCGTATGAAGTGGGGAATTTTGGCGTGAGGTTAACAATCCCACCCCGCAAAAAGCACGACTGCTAATGAATCTTCAAAGCTCAAGTTTGAAGTCCTGCATTCCACTCAAAAAGCAAAGGAATATTATGATTTCTCTACTGTTAACCTTTTACGATGACGCTTAAAGAATATATTAGACTTAGTTATTTGTTCATAAATAATATCTAACCAGAAGGAGGTTTCATGTCTTTGCATAGTGATACTTGTAAGTGAAAAGCTTTGAGACTATGTTATTTGGTTGGTGGTAACTAGTAACAGAACCCAGGATTTTTATTTGATCCTACCACGGACTCGTCGCCTACAGGCGCCTTCATCCTTAGTGAGTGGACGTGTTCCCACTCATCAGCCAGATGAGTCTCAAATAAAACTAAACGTGTATCCTAGATACCTAGATTGGATAATGCGACAAACAGCGGACAATGAGGAAACAGGCATAAAATGGACTCACACAAAAAACTTGGAGGATCTGAACTTCGCCGATGATATATGTCTGATTTCCCACAAACTGGAAGATATGCAAGCGAAAAGCAACAAGTTGGCAGAAGAAGCATCAAAGATAGGACTCCAGGTGAACATAGAGAAAACGGAGGTGATGAAGATTCCTGGCCAACACCAACAGCCACAGCAACAACAACAGACAGCAATCAGCATAAATGGAAAGAACCTGAAAGAAACAACCTCTTTTACCTACCTGGGAAGCATCGTTTCAACTACAGGCATATGGAACTGACGAGGATATCAAAGCAAGAATCGGAAAAGCAAGACAAGCTTTCACTACTCTCAAGTCTGTGTGGAGGTCAACAGCAATCAGCATCAAAAATAACATCCGGATTTTCAACTCCAATGTGAAGTCAGTGCTACTATACGGATCAGAGACTTGGCCAGCGCGTCATAAAGAGCACCTCAAACAAGCTACAGGCCTTCATTAAAAGTTGTCTTCGCTCAATACCACTCAAGATCAGATGGCTGGCCAGAAAAGATCAGCAACAGGGATTTCTGGCAATGAGCGAACCAACACAGCAGGAACCGATTGTGAAACAAATAGGCAGGAAGAAATGGAGATGGATTGGCTGGTCATACTCTGAGGAAACCATCAAGTGACATCACTAGACAAGCCATTGCTCGAGTGGAACCCGAAATGGGAGCGGCGAGTTGGTCGTCAGTGTGAGGGTGACTTGGAGGAGGTCATGTGAAGAGGAGATGAAAACGTGTGGGCAGACATGGAGCGAGGTGAGGACTCTAACAGAGAACCAGACGCAATGGAGACGGGTGGCTGAAGCCCCATGTTCCTCTAGGGAGTAAAGGAAACAATAATAATAATAATCCTAGATTCCACTTCTAGCCACTATAAACCAAACAGCATTATGTTTATCTGCACATATTATCTCTGCTAGAAGCCGACATATCAACAGAAATCAAGTATTTTAATCCAACAGATTCAATCAACCAGAAATACAAATTAACTTAAGCAAATAAGCTTTGACACTCTTGAGAAATATCCTTCATTCTCAGAAACTCGAACAGACATTTTTTGAAACTCATGAATACAGTTGTTATCACTGAGGTTAGCACCGAAGACGTTGTCTAGAAGAACAATTTAGCCCAATCAGAAAGTACAATAACACCAAAATTATCCACCCGATCTACAAATCTTCTCCATCATTTCAACATTGTAACTGGCTCCATACAGAAGTGTACTTGGTTCACTTATCAATAACTGCGGAGTAACCAATATTAAGCGACTAAATTACAAATTCTGACGAGGTGTGTCAACCAAATCTAACAGATAGTCACCACGACGTTAAGTGACTTTACGCACGTGTTTATCTTAAATGTGATTTAAAATGTATCGCCAGGGTTAAAAGAATATTGGTTTATATTCAGTACGGAATTGTAACATCCTACTCTTTGAGTCGAGATATTCATATGACAAAGAATTATAAGGTATTCACCTTAAAAAATGAAGGTAGTGGATTCGATCTCTATTGGCGATGTTTAGAAGTCCCAAGTTAGACTGAAACATCTGTCCACTACTACCCTGTATGCTTAAGAAAAAGCTGAAAGATTAATAAATGATTAATTGCAACACCAAATATTCATGTCTTGTTGAAAAGTCCCACTTAGCATATTATCATGTCATTTTTATTATTCCTATTGGGTTCCTAGGGGAAAAACACAGAGTTTCAACAGCAGATATCTTTTTCAACCTGTTCTCTGAATGCCTTTTTAGCTAACTCTACGATCACATGCATGCTTTTATCTCCTCATAGGATGATCCCCTCCATGTCATCCTCAGACGCCTAACTCGTCGTTTCCGATTCGGAATCCACTGGATAACCCAACGCGTGATATCACTCAGCATGTGTCTAATCCATCTTCACTTACTTCTGCATATTTGTTGGGTGAAAGGTTCTTTGTTGGTTCGTGCCTTTTTGCTTGCTCATTCTTTCTGGTCAGCCATATGATCTTCAATATGGAGCGAAAGCAGATGTTAATAAAAGTGGACTTTTGATGACGCGCTAAGTCTCCTAACCATATAGAAGAAATGACTCGAGATTAGTATTCAAGTTCCGGATCTTGTTCTTTATGCTTGGTGCAGAGGATTCCCACAATAATTTCAAAATTAAAATAGGATATTTCTCGCCTTTCCAAACCTGGCTGGTTTTGACATCCTTATCTGTGGCACCTGTAGTTGAAACGATACTGTCTACGTAAGTGAGAGAATTGGTTTCCTTTAGTTTTCTCCTGGTGATAGTGATTGGTGCTTGCTGTTATTGTTGTTGTCGGCTAGGCGGCGTGATCACCATTTGCCTTCTGTATGTTCACCTGAAGTGTTATCTTCGCTGTCTCTTCTGCCAACTTGTTGATTTTCTCCTGTACAAAGATTTCTTATCGTTTGTTGGTGTCGATACTTTCTGACTACTATATTTATATCAATCCGAATTAGGTCTCAAATTACAATCTATGCTATGCTCACATTCTCTACTCTATTTATAATGTCAAACTCATTACACACAAACATCATAATCTTAAAAACGTTTGATCACCAAATATAACTAACGATAAAATTTTAAAGTATTGGTTTTGTAGGGATTTTGTTTCATTAGTTGGAAGATTTCATCATGAGCTGACATCAGTTAGAGAACCATTGGAAAACCAACTGGGAGTACTGCCAGACAGCTGTTTCCTCCATCCTAGTTTGGGACTCTTCAACGGTATGCACCCTCCGTCAGGGTTCGAATCCACGATATTCTGGTTACAAGGTGAGCTAGCTCGTAGACCATTAGGCCACTGGGACCCGATCCAATGACCCATGTTTTCTAAGTTCTGCCAATTCATGACATAGCGTGACCACTTCGCAGCGTCTTCTCCGATAATGAGTTACTGCCTCACCTTCAACCTGCTGCACCATACTGGTCACCGCTTCCCACTAGAACCCCAGGTAATTGCCTGAATTGGTCGTGTTATGTCATGAGTTGACAGAAGTTATAATTCATGGGCTGGCTGGCCACTGGATCAGGTCCCAGTGGCATAATGGTCTACGAGCTAGCTCACCTTGTAACCAGAATATCGCGGGTTCGAACCCTGACGATGGGTGCATACTGTTGAAGAGTCCCAAACTAGGATGGAGGAAACAGCTGTCTTGCAGTACTCCCAGTTGGTTTTCCAATGGTTCTCTAACTGATATCAGCTCATGGTGAAATCCTCTAACCAATAAAATTTAAGTTGGATTGTGTATTTTGCAATAAATAATTTGATGTAACTTCATGTTATTTCAGTACAAATTAACGATTTGATAAGAAATAAACATGATAATTCAAAGTTCTGACATGTAATTCAATCAATTAATAATTCATATTCATATAAACTTTACATAAAAATGATACTTACATAAGATTATTTGTTATTTAGGTGTAAAATATTCAGTAAGACAGAAAAACCAAAATTTTGTTTATTTCGAAATTATTGCTCGATTTTGTTAACTGAATAAAATTTAAATATGCACAATCATACAATTACACACAGACACATATTGTACACATTGAACAATCACTTTATCGCTTATTTTATGTACTATTCAAGGTCACTGTGATAAAAATTCATCAGTTGATATCAGATGAAAACAAGTAAATAAATGAAATTGTATAACAATTGGAAAAATAATTTGTAATTTACTGAAATATACAATGAATTGTGGATTATTCAAGTCTTATAAAACAATTAGGGTAGATAGACAAAAAGTACTTACTTACTTAATCATTATGGATGTCTGTTTTTCTATTTAGTTCCTAGTGTGTGTGTGTGTGTGTGTATCTCTATCAGTGTGAAACAAGAAACTAAAAGTGTATAGTTAAAATTTTCTTGAATTCACTGAATTTAAAAAAGAAGGATTATGTTTCTGTTATGAACTGAAAGTTACCGACCGATTTACAAATTAGTAACAACGTTGATTCTATCACTGACTTAACTATATATCTATCATGAAGACAAAACCTTTTGATTACTGCTGACCACTTCAAGGCACCTCATCCTAAATTTATTCCAAAAGTAGGGAAATAGGGAATAGTCATTCTGAGAACGGTATGCAAAATAAGAAGTTAAGCAGAATTATGTGTGTTGGGATTTAAATATGGCAATTAAATCAATATGACCCGTTGAACAAGAGGTGGCTCTCGTGGCCCAAGTGGTCTAGTGGATAACGCTTTGGCGTTTGAAACTATTTTGGCACTGGGTTCGAGCCTCGGTGGGAACATCATCACTCACTGAGAAATGCAGATACATCCAGATGACGAGTCCCGAATAGGACGAAATGCGCATCCTGGATTCCACTGCTAGTCACCATCCACCAATTAAATATCTACTTTATAGCAGGCTACGAGCCAACCCAGTTTTGATTAGGTTGAAACATGTGAAGAGGGATTCGAACGTGTTGACTAAAAGGCGAATGTTTACTCTAATGAACTGATGAAGGAATAGCAAATAATGAGGTAGGAATGCTCATTTTAATCAATTTTGAATCATACAACTAGAGTCTCCATCTTTCGGTGCCGGCAAATTCGTAGATCTCAGACATGCGTCCGATACCTATACCCGTAATCAACGACTAATCTCACATCTTGGTTTTTTTTTACTGATTGATTTATTTCTATATAAGCACAGTACAATATGGAACTGAAAAAATGCACCACACACAGATATCTGACAATGCTTCAAGCCACTGAGCTACGAGACCTCCTGGGGTTGAGGTACATCAAGAGATACAAACTTAATCCAACTTCCATCTGTTAAATTATCACCACATTATGGGCTAGACACAGTACTAATTAAAATTGGTTCTACTTCTAACAATACACTACAGAAGGCGGTTGATTGTTTGAACTGTGCCAATTACAAACTTGAAGATTTCATGTGATATATGATTTTGGTTTTATTACAGCATCTAAAGAATTGTGAGTTGGTGCCTCCATAGTAGAATGATTGCCAACCATGCACGTGGTCTGGGTCCGATTCCCGACTGGCACGCTACTAAACATCAACTAGTTTACCAGGTGATAAGAGCAGAGGTTGGACGTGAGGCTGGCAATGCCACCTCTAGTGAAACTTCAGGGCTTCAAGTCCTATTATTTTCCAATCAAAATGCAAACGATGAAAAAGATCTAAGGACACCCTCTATCAGTTTAAGAACAACAAATACGCAATCCACAGTCTAATTACGATAAAACAATGAGATGTTTTAAAAAAGAAATACGCAACTGGAAGTCTTAAAACATCGAAAGGATGAAAATGCATCCTTCAGAGAAAAGTTTCGACACTTTAAAATAACATTTGAATCGCTAAATTCGTGTGTTAAAACACATTACTGACGTTGATGTTAGATGGATACAAGCAGTTGGCAGGACACTCTATACATGAGTTTCGCACCTATTGATACTCATCAGCAAGGTGTATATGTGCGTCACACAATGATGCAATCGGAGACGTTAACACCAGGCGGCATAACCAATATGATATTATTAATATTAACAATAAGAAATTAACATGCCTTCATGATGTTGGGCAATAGTGCATTGTGTACAGAGTTCAACTGTACCATTCTATAGACGAAATACACCCATAGAAGCTATTCAGAAATGTATGAATTAAAAATCGTTAGATAAGGGATGGTTCACAAGTATGATGTTCAAATCGCAAAAAATGTTAACTTTTTTCATCTGAATTTCCTTAATAATACGGTATATACAATTCAATATTATCCTTCACAATGGTGAACGTAAAGTTCATGGAATAATCCCATAATACTGCCCATACTTGTATTATATACATAAAAAAGACTGACCAAAAAGCTACTCAGCAGCCATTTACATTTATAGGCATTTAACAATGAGCCAGATGAATCGTGTGATAGTCGGTACAATAATGCAGCCTAACAACGCCTGATAGGTGGACCAGGATTTATATATATATATATATAAACTTCTTTCAAGTTAATCTTCATCAGAAACCGACTGACTGACGTAGAACTCTGCACCGACGTGCAGCAATTCGAGCCGCCACACTTCACTTAGCACACAAAGCAAGAGAAAGTAAAAAGAAATGCAAAACAGAGACAGTAAACAGAAATATGAGGCAAAAGGAATAGTAATATCGAAGAACAATATAGTTTTATTGGGTATTATAAGTCACAAGGAGTGGATGCATCTGCACCAGCCATTGAGAACGATTTTGAGCCATATCACCAATTGTCTCCAGCCATTAGTGTTTACCGTCCCGAGGACCCCAACAAGGAAGTCTACACCTTCCTACGTGGCTTAAACTAACTGTTGTGAATTTGACTGACCGATGCCATGTTCTGGTATCTCTTTTCCAACCTGATCCATCCTATGTCAGTTAACACTACCCGTCGAGAAAGGCGATGACTAGACATATGTAACACATGTCCTAACCATCTCAGTCGATGTAATTTCACAGCCTCATCTATTGATTTCCCCTCCTTACCTAGCATTCGATGCCTAACCTCAATATTGCTCACCCTATCATACCACCTAACACAGGAGATAGAACGCAGGCACCTATGATCAAAGACAGCTAGCCTTTTCATGTCTTCCACTCTCAATGGCCAGATCTCACAGCCATAAAGGAGGACGGAGAGGACTGCTGAGCAGTACACACGTCCTTTGATCGATAGCCGGATATCAAGTCTACGCCAGAGACGGCGTAAACTGGCATATGCGAAACGAGCCTTCTGTATCCGTGCTGAGATCAGAAACCGACGTCATACAGGAAACCATTTAAAAAACTAAGCACAGTAAATAGTTGTCTCGTATTAATTTGGGTCTACTTAACAATTCGTACTCACTACCTCAAATCACGACAAAATGACAGTTCAGTGCTTTCAGTTTTCCAATAATTCTCTAGTAACCGATTCCTGATAGAAACAACTTTCAAAATATTCATCATACCAACTTCACACCTCATCACCCAACGACACAACCTCTCTTAACGTTATTCTTCAATTAGACTACTACTTCCCAGTCGTCTATCTCAGTTAGTGTTCACTGGTGACTGACTACAAGATGAAGTTGCCTGAAGTTCCACTGGGAAATCGTAACCATCAGGGTCAACCAAATTGGGTGTGTAAGGACAAATACTCGCCGATAACACTAGCTGGGCGTGGTGTTACACATACCAGGAAGTGGCAGAAGTTAGAACTGACGGGTCATTGGATTCCGTTCCATTTGGTATATGGACAACAAGATTGCCTTGTAACGTGAAGGTTTCTGGGTTCGACCCCTCCCAGTAGAGTCATGAGTGAGTACCGATGAAGAGACACCCAAGCGACAAGAACGAAACCACTGTGTCCAATACTCCCTACTGGTTTTCAATAGTTCTCTAACTCAAGTCAATTATTCGTGATCAATCATGAAAAAGCAAAAACACATTCGGAAATATAAAAGCAAATATCAATGTACATATATTTGTTTGATCGAAGTGTGTATGTCTGTATGTATGTATTTATACCTGTATGCATAAAGAAACGTGTAGATAAAAGTAAAATGCCTAGGACAAAAAAACAATTAAAAATTCTGTAATAATCAATTTCTTCATCTCTTTCTTTCCCTGTGTATCACTCTCCCCAATGGGATATCGGCTGCATATTATCACAATCACTATGTTGAAAGCTATTCTCATGCAATTTGAAGTAAAAAATAAAAGAAATTAAAATAATCAATAATATATAAAGGTGAAAAAAATCCACAATAACGGTAACAACGAAAAGACAATAAAAGAAAAATCAAAACAAATCAAATATCAGCAAAAATCAAAAGAGAATAACACTATTACAGGATAAAATATTTATTGTATGTAAAGCACACAACTCTAAAATCTGCTCTTCCTTCCCCCTGCCCACCCTACCCTCAACCCCCTCAACCGCTACTGTCCATCCATTTCAATTATCCTTTAGGAAACTGAATGTTACACAGTTTTGAGAGAAGGACTCAGACAATAGAAGAGAGAATATAACAAACAGCACAAGTACACATGTTTGAATGTATTTACAATGAGGTATAAATTAACTGAGGTGTGTGTCTCTGTGTGTGTGTGTGTTCATGTTCATTCGTCTATTCACAAGAACAAAAACGTCGAAATCACCCCCATGTCGATATGAAGTCAAGAAATATTAAGAGTGCTAGAGTGACAATAAAAGCAGTAATAACAATAATATTAATACCAATAAGGATCGGAAAAATCAAAAAATAGCACAAAGTAAATGCAATTTGATATATATGTGTGTGATTTTTAAGTAGAGAAAGACCACAAAAATATGTATATTATATAATATGATGTAAATAGAAAGAAAGAAAGATCCAATTTAAAAACAAAGACGAAATTTACAGAAGTAAGTAACGCAGTAAAAGCAACGACGAACTCGTCTCCCCCCCCACGACCACCACCTACTTTAATTTCCTGTATTCATGATTGCATTATTATTCGTCTCATTGGTGACCATCTGACGACCATCCGATGTCTTATGGCTAAGATGGTGTATTCCATGCGGATTAGCTCTTGACTGTTCAGCATCCCTTTCATCGTCCTCTTCTTCTTCATCGTCTTCACCTTCATGTTCTTCATCGCCTTCTTCTTCCTCCTCTCCCTCCTCCTCCTCTTCTTCATCCTCTTCCTCATCTTCCTCGTCCTCTTCATCGTCGCCAACTCCACTCACCCCGGTAACACTTTCATCTCTTGACATGATGATTTGACTTGTTTCACCGACTAACGCTTTTTGACTTATTATCATCTGATGATCATGTGTACTTGGCGGTAGTAGTTCTGTGGTGGTTTGATCTTCAACTCGAGCACGTTTTGTCGCCACATATAAGCCGGCCTTGTATTTTTGCATATCCTTGCCGTATGTAGAAAAAGAAATGTAAAGATATGAAAGTGATTTGCTTACAGTAGAATAAATATAACTTGTAAAAGAAAAAATTGTTAAACATCACGAAGTACATAAACAATGGCATACAGTTAAACTTTAGACAATCCAAGAGGTGTGGATGAACACACTCACGAGCTTGAAATGGGAGATTGTGCTTAAAAGCAATCTTGCGCCCCTAACTCAACTCCCAACCTATCCTTAATCAAGACTAATAACCTAACCTTAATCTTTCCCTAAGCCACCTTAAAACTAACCAGTTATCCCAACAGGGAAATTGAATCGTCCGTAGTACTTCCATACAAAGAAGGAACCTCGGAAACCACCTTACGGAGAATTCTTAACAATGCAGGAAGAAAAGTGGTTGGCATTCAAACCCACAAACTCGATTAGAAACAAGCTTTGTTGGTTAAAGGATCCTGTGGAGCCTTTAAAACAAAACAATTTAGTTTATCTAATACCCTGCAATGATTGTCAGTTCAAATACATAGGTCAGAGTAGTAACAGGACGGGGTCAGTCAGACTAGCGGAGCGCAAAAACCTAGCAAAATCTAGATTAGTTGACTCTAATAAGATAATAAATCTGGAGAATAGTTCAGCTACAGCACTACATCCAGTTACATACAACCAAACAATAGGATGGGATAAGATGACAGTTTTAAAATCTAATGTAACAGGATGGAGGGAGGGACTGATAACTGCAGCTTTATTTATCGAGTCAAATGGAAATACGTGTAACAGGAATGATTCAACACCTGTCTCAGACATCTAGAAAATTCTACTAGCCCTACGACGAATAGGAAAGAATAAAGAAAACTACAAAGAAGGGAAGTTTCGAAGTTGTGACATCATGAACAATAAATTGTGTTCGAAACGTCATCCAGTAAATAATATTGTTTCACTGTGTGATATATCTAATCAACAAACTGATATGGAACCGGTTATCGCGTTTAATATCCCTACACTTCATTCAACACTTTCATGAATACTTATTTTTATTCTTTTACGTTCCCAGTGGAACATAGGGCTTCAAGCTAAAGACTTGAAGTTTCTGTAACAGTGATGAATTTTACAGGATAGGGTTGCTAACCTCACGCCCAACCTTCCCTCTTTACCAGTCTTATTGCCGGTTTAGCGAGTATTTATATTGTTATTTATTTTATTCCTTTGCCTTCCGAATGAAAAAAATGGCTTCAAGCTTGAGCTTTGAAGTTTCAGCAGGCAGTGGCATTTCTTCTTACGGGATGAGGTTGCTAACCTTACGTCCAACATTCCCTCTTTACCGGTCTTACTACAGGCTAAGCGAGGTTTAGGAGTGCGTCGGCCAAGAATCAGATCCTGGACCACAGAACCACCAACGCACATAACCAAGAGTAGGGCTAATTATTATCCTTCCATTTCTTAAATCTTTTTATCATTTTGTTTATTTTGATTGGCTTTTCATTTTCCATGTATAAATTGATTTCAAAAGTAAGTTTTTAATCAGACTGTTCAAAATGTATTGCTCAAACACACCACACATTTCACAGATAAACGCCATCTTTTAACTACGCCATCTAAATTTATTGAACAGGGTATAGATACTATCAACATATGACTTGAAACAAAATCCCAACAAAACCAAAATTTGGGGTTCTAGTGGGAAACCGTGACCAGTAGGGTACAGCAAGTTGAAGGTGAGGCAGTAACTCATCATCGAAGAAGACATTGCGAACTGGTCGCGCTATGTCATGAATTGGCAGAAGTTAGAATTCATGGACTAGCCATTGGATCAGGTCCCAGTGGCTTAATGGTCTACGAGCTAGCTCACCTTGTAACCAGAAGGTCCTGGGTTCGAACCCCGCGGTGTGGGTGTGTACTGCTGAAGAGTCCTAAACTAGGATGGAGGAAACAACTGTCTGGCAGTACTCTCTGCAGGTTTTCCAATGGTTCTCTAATTGATGTCAGCTCATGATGAAATCCTCCAACCTATTCTTCAACAGTTCAAATCGTCAAACACCTTTAATTTTCTAAGTAGAAGATGATAGGACACTAAGACAAAATGTGAAAATAAAAATATCAATACTCATAAAACTCTGAGAGATAAAAGACAAGTTAAGTGTAAATAACATTATAATTACTGATATTGTGTTACAACATAATATACTATTATTAGATAATAACTACCTTTTGAAATTCGCTAAACTTCACAAAAGCGTCAAACAAAAGAGGCTCGACTAATCCGATCAGCTCTTTACCTGTCAAAGGTGAACACTAAAGTTTCATCACTAAAAAAAGATTCAGAGTGGTACTCAACAGAACTTACTATGCAGCTAAACTTATTTTCTTAAGGGAAACGGAATTTACACTGTCTTGTAAGCCATCACAGCCTTCGAACGATAGTGTAACATCCCATAGTGTTTACCTATTTAAGTGTTTGTATGTGGTCACACGTACACAGAGGGAGAACCCATAGATCTCTGCAGGTCTAACGGCATCTATCACAAAGCACATTATAGTGCCTTTAAACCCATGTATAAAACAGGTTTGGGTCATATACTTAAACTGGTTAAAGCCGTAAGCATTAAAAAGGCTTAAACCTGTTTTATGTGTTTAAAAATTATCTATTATTAATTTGAACCTATCTTGGTAATCCAATTTTAAAACTAAGGTTTATTTCGCCCAATAACATTTTCACCGTCTTTTTCATCTCTTATCTGCGATCTTGACCTGCAAACATTTTGACCTACACTGTGATCAAAATTTCGATCCTTTATACTCTCTCTTACCTTTTATATAAATTATTATTATTATTGTTTCCTTTAATTCCTAGAGGAACATAGGGCTTCAGCCGTGCGTCTCCATTGCGTTCGGTTCTCTGCTAGAGTCTTCACCTGGCTCCAAGTCTGCCCACACGCTTTCATCTCCTCTTCACATGACCTCCTCCAAGTCACCCTCACACTGACGACCAACTCGTAGCTTCCCTTTCGGGTTCCACTCGAGCAATGGCTTGTCTAGTGATGTCACTTGATGGTTTCCTCAGAGTATGACCAATCCATCTCCATTTCTTCCTGCCTATTTGTTTCACAGTCGGTTCCTGCTGTGTTGGTTCGCTCATTGCCAGAGATCTCTGTTGCTGATCTTTTCTGGTCAGCCATCTGGTCTTGAGTATTGAGCGAAGACAACTGTTAATGAAGGTCTGTAGTTTGTTTGAGATGCTCTTTATGACGCGCAGTGCAAGTCTCTGATCCGTATAGTAGCACTGACTGACTTCACATTGGAGTTGAAAATTCGGATCTTATTTTTGATGCTGAGTATGCTGTTGACCTCCACACAGACTTGAGAGTAGTGAAAGCTTGTCTTGCTTTTCCGATTCTTGCTTTGATATCCTCGTCAGTTCCGCCTGTATACGTGTGTGAGATAAATTGTCTTCTTATTGTCTTTTCGAAATTCATAAGAGGGGACCTATTGCTATAAATAAAGAAATCTGGTGTTTTGGTTAAGAAGTCGAAGTAGTACGAGTACTTTTGTGCCAAGGGGACCTACAATTACTAACTAGACTCCTGAAAAGTGACTAATACCACCTCATATAATAAAATAAACGGGGGGATATAAGTTACTGCAAATCAAACTTGCCGCGTTTTAGCCTCAGTATACTTGAATGGGTAGAATGCAAGAAGTTAATTACCACTTGAATTTCCTCAGGTGGTTGATTTTGTATTACATGCCCAGAGGAATGCTGTGATCATTCGCTTGACTGTTTTAAAGGTGTTATGGCTCATGGGGCTTATGTACTCAGTTTTCAACCGGTGGATCACCATTTTGAATCCCACTCCACCTACTTCAGTTTGAATAACTGGATAGTGTCATTAATCCTTATACGATAAGTTTGGCTTTTAGCCTGGTACATAAAAAGTCTATTCCAAGTAACTGAGTTCAAACAAATATCAACTTTTTGACACACCTGGAATATTATAACCAGAGTCATATTTAGTACCCTATAAATTCGTGAACCCGATGTATCGAAACACTTGCCGGATTATCAACATTCTAACTCTCGCTGATATATAGCTATTGCATGTTTTGATCTCATTTCTCTGTGGCTTCTCAGTGCGTAACCTGCACTTCTTCGTGGTAAGCACTATAAATATGGAAGCAATGCACGTCGTTGCTGCCTTCCTTGTAATTTTCAGATAAAAGTAAGGGGTATTTCGGGATTTGTGACGAATTCTGCCATCGGTAATCTACAATCCAAACAAACAGTCGTTTGTTTTATGTATCAGATTGAAATGCTGGTACTACACTCCTAGTCCACACAGGAGCAGAAGTGAGTATTCTTACTCCTCCTCTGCCTATGCAAGAGCGTTAACATCCTCACCCAACAGTCACTCTCCAAGCTGTTAACAAGTCCAGTATCATTACGTATGAACGCATACGCATAGCTATGAACTTTGGTCTGCAGAATGCCTACAATTGGTCATCCATCATTGCAAGTCTCCCATCGCCAATCTTAGCATTGATTACATGAAGCACCATAAATTACTGGTAGACCCAATAAGTCTGTTGTACCGTTTACTATACTACGCGCAAACATATCTCATGATAGCTTTTATCTTTACCCAAATGAGCCTTCATATTTACATTAAAAATCTACCAACCTCTTTATATGTAGTTTATTTTTACCACACATAAATGATTAACCCAAGTAAATACTAGAGATATAAATGAAGAGTTGTAAATTTATACCACAATTCCAACTCCAAAAGGAACAATAAGGAATAGTTTATAAATCACACTAGTTTTCAAATTGATTTAACCTATCCAATCTGATAGAAGTGGTTTAGGAAATACAAAATGAAGCAGGAAAGTGATGAATATACACTGAGTAATAACGCCATAATGATGAAAAGCTAATCAGAGTACCCAACTCAGTCCATAAAGTAATCTCTGCATTCTATATCCATAAATAAGTTGTCATTTGGTTTCTATGACTCCTTCGTTTGTCTTCACCACATCGCGCAATACTACTAGTAAGTAAGTTTCATAAGTAGCAACTGCCACACTATTACTTCTTAATTCTAACCAGTAGTTACGATTAAATTTAGCACAATTCTTATACGTAGTAAATATATATACATATATATAGGCTTACTTGTTCATAACGTAATTTATCATTTTGAGCACGTCGTTCATATTTCTCTTTATCCGTACACTCTTCCCATCGTCTACCCAACTCTTTGGCAATATCACTAACTTTCCAATCTGGATGTTCACTACGAATTTTCGATCGAAATGCATCACAAAAGAAGAAGAACGCGGACCATGAACGTTTAGGCATACCAGGATCTTTGATACGTCTTCGCCTACGACCACGTCGCATTCCAGTCGGTGGGACATAATGAGCCATTTCACGATTGAAGCGTTCTGTATCCAATTTTGCCATCTCTTCGAAACATTTCCTTTGTTCTACAGTCATGAGCTAGACAATCAAAAAAGGAGGAGGAGGAGTGAACACAGAATGATATCATTTTTTTTCTACATACCTTCCATTTCTCAGCGCATTTTTTAGAAAATTCACTGAAAATAACATTTTCAGTTGGATGCTTTTTTCTATGCTCTTCGCGTATAACTTGCACAAAGCATGCATATGGTGTCATTGGCGGTTTCGGACGATTCTTATCCTTCACCATCATTGCTTCTAATGCAATGTACTGAATGAATGGCTAGGAAAATGTCCTGAAAAAGACAGACAGGCAACAGTGAAATTACATGAAAAGCATTATTATAGTTTGTAATTAAGTCTGTTTCAGTAATTTTAATGTAAATTAAAAAGACATAAGTCAGCAAAAGAATATTCTTCTCGTAACTTCATCCAAAGCTACATCGTTATACATTGTTTTAAAAGATCAATGGCTAATATCAGTTGGCAACTAAACATACGAAAATTAAGTAATCTTGCATAATCTAAAAACATTAAGTGATGAATAGTCCTCAGAAATGATTATCATAAGAACTAGAAGTGCTTGGAAACAGGAATGTTATTCATGGAGTAAGACATGCAGAATATGTATAATTTAAGGATAAGGGATTGGAAGTAAAGATTAAAAACGAATGAATACGGACTACATACCAAATTACTGTACAAGTTTTTTTTAATGTAGACAAATTAAGGGCTGAATAATGCTATACAATACTAACTGACTAGTATTAGTAGCCGGATACCAATCACATCAACTAGCGGTACTCGCTGACCAGATCGAAGTGATCTAACCATCGGACAGCTGTTTCGCTCGACTGGGGTCTTTCTTGATTATCATTTAAGGTATCAAGAAAACCACATATTTTAATCTGAAATCTCACATCAAATTGTTCTGTGAATTCGATACAAGGGTCGAATAACTTGTAAAATAAAATCATCTACTGAATGCTTCACAGTCATTTTCTTTTGAGATAATCAGTCACATATAAAACATTTTTAAATAACACATACTTTGTCCTTAGACGGTAACCTCAATTCAAATGAATCTCAGCAGTCGAGTCTAAACGTCAGTAATAATGCAGAATCTAGACGTGACTTACAACAATGCTAGGCGAAAACTAATTGTATACTGCCTATTTTTGTCCAATTTTATACCCTTATTTTTTTCGATTGTGGTCATTCAAAATATAAGTTTGCTAGTCTAAACTGCCATTCGGATAAAGCGAGAGCTAACACAATTTTGAAGGGATGTGATATATTATCGAGTATTAGTAGGGTAAAAGAGTAATAACGAAGACAAGAGATTATGTTTTCTGTATTAATCTTAACACAGATTTCGTGTACTACGGGGTATACATAAAATGCGCGAATAATATGAAGGAAAGAGAAATAGTGACTGACTATGACAGAATAATACAGAAATCTCCACAGAAGTGCATCAGACCAAGTTGCGAAACTTTCGAAAAGCATAACCAATAATGAGACAGAATCATATAAACATAGGTTTGACAAAGAATACCTGGATGAAGATTAGTGAGACCTCTCACGGTCTGCACCGCTGTGAACGATTTTTAGCTATGGTATCCAACCACTGATCCTTAATATCCCGGAGACCTCAGCCAGACAGTTTACACCAGCCTATGTAGCTCAAACCCATGACCACTCCTAACTCTTATCCAACCTAATTCTAATTCATCTAGAACTGCTCTCTGAAAAAAGCGATGGCATCACCTACTGACTACATTTTTTCGAAACAATCACATCAGTTCCTTGACTACATTATTGCCATCAGCTTTAAAAAACCGAATTGTCTGGATTCGGCGCCCTATGATGATTGAGTACTTGCAGTCCCTATAGGAACTCTACTTTGTTAGGTGGGCTGAATTAAAGTGAACACGATGTATTGTGCTACAGAAGATAGAACAACAGTGCAGTAGGTTAGATAAACTGTCTCCGGAGTGTTTTTCTAGCATTCCAGAAATCTTTTAAGATTGCTACCTAGAAAACTCCTACCTGACATCAGACTGCTGATCTCTCTTGGTTGAACTGAAACAGCTTCCAGCTGTTGCTGAATGTTAATGATGCTGCTTTCATATCACACGCTTGTTCTGGCCACTAAGGTCCGTAATCCAAAAAATGCGTAGTTTGAATCCATACCTAAGAGCTTCGTACAGCTTACTAAGCTGATCATCTCTTGGAATGGGTAGATGGATGTTGAGAAGTTGCAAGGAGCTCGCAGAAAATCGATGTTTGCTGGCAGGACTTTCTTCTAAACTTCAAGTGGCTTTATTTACCGTTTCTATGGAGTTTTGTATGTGAAACCAACTTCCGTCTACACTTTCTGGAGGATCAACACACAACTAATAATCTAACTTAATTTGATATTTAGTGGTAGTAACAGGTGAAACAAATTCGCTCAAGTCAACTCACTTATGAGCACATTCATGAAGACTACCAAAGGAAGGAGAACCTTAAAACATCAAAGCATGATCGAACACTACAGAAGGCACAAGTTATGTTTGCATAAACGCCAACGGTAGCTAACGGCCATGTGATCTACATGAATCCAGGTTTGAGTAGCAAAGGCAGAACGGCGTCAAAATTTAGTGAAGGGTTGGAATAGACTATGATGTGTGCAGAGGTGTACAAGACAGGCACTCACTATATGAGCTGCGACCCACTTGACCTCAATATCCACCTAAAAGACTCTCCTCTGAGCCCATTAATCCAACCTACACATGCAAGTTGTCAGCTAGCAATACGATATCTGTTAAGCGTGCTCTTTCGAGATAACTCAGTAGGTAGTAGGATTAATCCTAGTCGTATCCGGATTGTCGTGTCAGTGCGTAGATAGACTGATCGACGTTTAACGTATAACTGTAGTCAGTTCAAGTTGAAACACTTCCAAGAATCACACAAAACTCGTGAAAACAAATGTAACGGAACCTCAACAAACAAAAGAAGGCAAATGCAAAGAAACCATTATAAACATAAAGGTACTGGGGATGTTTACACGGAGTATAATAAGAATTCAGTGGATCTAGGAGTTCAGAAGGAGTGTATCTGATACACTAAGGACGACTTCGAGCCATGTCACGAACAGTCTCTAGTCATTAACTCTTAACATCCTAATAACAACCAGAGGGTTAGCACATCCCCCTGTGGTTCAAACTAACAAATAAAGACCAATACTGGAAAGACTCCATGTGTTAATCTTACGTTTTACTTTGACTACCCTTAATTCTTTTCCAGCCTAATCCTATTTTAACTAACAGTGCTCCCTGAAGAAGATGACGGCTCAGTGTGTATAACACGTTCTAGATGCCTCAATCAATACAGCTTTATAGCCTCACTAATCAACTCCTCCTTACGCCTAACCTCATTAATACTTACCATATTGCTCCATCCAACAGGACAGAGTAAGGGAAGACATTTGTGGTTGAAAACCTCTGCTTTTTTCACATATTTTTTCTAACAAAGGAAATGTATTACAGCTGTGAAGTTGGACATGTATGTCCTTCAAGAGGTAGCTGGATATCATGAGTAGGCTAAAGATGACGTACGTTGACTAGTGCCAAAACAGCCTTCTGTATCCATGCTGAGATTCTATCAGTATTCATTCGACTAGGGTTGATGCAACTTTCCAAATACGTGAAGTGATCAACACATCCAACTATTTCACTGAGAATCAATGCAAATCAGCCCTTCACATCATCTTGTGTTTTAAGAGGTTAAAGACTGAGTCAAACATACTTAGATGTGTGGTTGAAGTGTTTAGAAGACTATATCTTCAGCATTCTACTCCGATTTTCGACGGAAGAAATGTGTCTTCTTTTCAGTAAGCTTACTGTTACCGGACACAAATACTGTTATAAATTTTCTCCACAGAATCACCGACTAAGAAAATGATGACTGCAGTTAGCAAGCTGATGAGTACTCAACATCTTATAGACATGACACAAGACGCCAGTTGTGGGGGTTAACATTAGAGATCAAATTTGATCGAACAGTACTGTTATTGAAGATTATAAGGTTGATTTCTACTAGCCAAAGATCAGCTAAAGATGATGGAGACATATTTAAATTAGGAATATTCGTTAGTTACACAACGCATATTTCTATCTGCCAACACGACAAAGTAAAAAATACCCTAAGCCACCTGTGAAGATGCCAATGTATACAAGAATTAAACCCTGTTGGGGACCTAAAATAAGTCTGGGACAATGACTTTTTGATGCTACAAAATAGTTTGGTATAAGACTCACTAATTAAATAACTAGCCGCATGACTTTTGTCATGGCTACATTTTCGGACAATCTCTCCTCTAAAGGACAATTTGAACCCATAGTCGATGCCACCAAGCAATCCTACCTCCACAAATTGAAACGTGTTCAAATGAGACTAAAGAAGGTTAATGTGACAAGGTCCCGAAACACTTACCATTAATTTTCACATCTTACGGTGTTTCTAGGGAGTTGACTAGTGAGTTAGTTTATAGTTTGACCAACGTAAACTGACTTTTGAAAATTGAATTATAGGATAGTTTCTGAAAGCATCGTATTCACAACTGACCATAGTTGTTAATTCCTTTGACAGATTTGTCCCACAGAGCCTACTTAGGCGAGCAAACACAATACTTAGTTAACTTTCTAATTTTTTAAACAGGTTGTATTAGTTTTTATTCAGTTGCACAGTTTAAATAGAATGTTAAACTTAGGAAGTTGATCAAATTTCGAATGAATGATTGAGCATTCATTACGTAGGGTGAGCTGAGGTATGAAATAGAAAAGTGCTAGCAAGCGTATAATGCTCAAGGCGTGACACAAAAAGAAATTTGAAGGAATAAGAGAACCTAATATTGCAGTAATAATGCATTAAGAGCGGAAATCATATGGTAATAAAATCCTTAAAGTGCAGAAACAGCTAGTGAGGAGAGACCGCACAGACTACGTAGAAGTGGTAATTTAACTTGATTTCAAAAAGGGAGTTATTTTAGCTTTCCACAGCATTATTTACGAAATTCATTAAACACTGCTCTTTAAACTTGCCACTATAGTGGCCCGAAGATTTTGTCCCAAAAAGTCTGCAGTGTGCCCGAAAATAATGCTAGCTACAGCTAGCAGCTACTATACCCATGGGTATAGTGGCTGCAAAAATGAAGCAAATTTCTTTTCACTTCAAGAATCTCACATTTAATACCGTTTCTCAGCTAATTCGAAGACTTTGGCATGACCACTTGAAAGCTGTAGATTTAGGAAAATGACACGCGAAACCCTGGGAAAGACAACAACTCACTAGCCGATGGTGACCTTGGGAATCAAATATCACCACAATAAGTTTTATGATGCATACTCTTGATTTCGGACTCCCATTAAGACTTTTTATTGGCGTTAGAAGGCCTAAGTTCCGTATAAATCCTTTACTGTTAGGTATCTTCGCTCGATTATTCCCTCTCCAACGAGTCTACCTCTGTTCGCGAAAAACTTAATGACCACTCCCTCTGAGAATCGGAATTCCACACATATTTTATTCACTTGCTGTTTGATTATTCTCTTGTGGTGACCTCGCAAAGGTGGGCTAGAGGGAAATAATAGGCTAGAAGGGTTAGTCCCCGAACCACCCTTCCAAATACCATATGCCAGTATTAAGTCTCCTCTCCTCTTCCCGTATGATAATGGGAAGAGAGTTAAATGTTATGCCCTCTTCTCATTAGGAAGGTGTGAGATACCACTTACTAATTTGGTTCATACTCAATGTATTCATTCCAGTATATGCGCCTCCTTGAAACACTCACTGGCCGTTTGCAAACAGCATTCTAGATGATACTTGACATATGTTGAGCTGAGTAATTTAAACATGGACTCTTCTAATTGCGTGAAAGCCCTTCAAAGTATCCATAACATTCGAAAAGCATTACCTACAACTGCACCGTAACATGCAGCCGTCTCAAAAACATAGCTGCAGGCGATCCGAAACTCCTCCCCCTGTTACAGTTAAACCATCCACTAAGCTTCTTCGCTTTCCGAATAGTCTTATTTATGCGATAGCTTTCGAGGGATACACCAAAATGCAGAAAGATGAAGTGACGTATTTTAATGTTTTCCTAAGTTTCACCAAGCTTCCTCGATAGTCCCATTTATTTTAACTCACCAGTCAACCAGATTTGCTGCACTCAACATTGCTGATACACCCGCTTGCCAAAAGTTTCGGTGAATAGATGTTGACTCATGTATGAGGCCATGAGTCTTAAATGTAAAAGTAACGAGTAAATGGTTACTACTGCCTAGAGGCGGGAGGCGCTTAATGTCCTTTAAATCCTCCTTCTGGTGTGTTGATGCCAAGTCCAGAGTAGAGGGACAATGTTCAGGGTCGCATCACGTTGTTGCATAATTGTCAATATAACGGATTATCTTAAGTTCTGCCTTGATATATGCTGTCCCAAACAAACACTATTCAAACGCCTCGACCGCTTATCATCTCCTTATCTCAAACAACTTCGCAGGCAAAAAGAAACATTATACAAATCCAAGTTAGGACTCAAAAAGATTAATGCTCGAATCATATCTGAAATCAAAAATCCTAATGCTATCTACAATGATACGCTTTTATCATGCAAATCTCCTATCAGCTTGTGGAAACTTTTTAATGAAATTACTGGCAATAGTAAGCGTTGTAATGCTTTTCCGTCTTATGATGTTAATGCTCTTAATCAGTCTTTTATACGCCGTCCTTCTACTATAACTACTTCTAATGTTACCAGTCATGTAGCTGATAACTTTCATGACTTTAATGCTCTCGATATTCTAAAATGTCTTAAAACACTCAAGCCCTCATGTAGCCTTGGCCTTGATGGTATACCTGCATATGTTCCAAAACAGTGTGCAGATGCTTTATGTTCTCCACTAACTGACATCCTAAATGCTTCGTTCTCCAAAAATGTCGTACCTGATGCATGGAAAGACATTAAAACAGTCCCTCTCCCTAAACCTGGAAACAGCAAGAACGTAAAGTTCAGACCCATTGCCATCACTTCCCCGTTTCTAAAGCTTATGGAGAAACTAGTACTTCTTAAACTTGAACCCTCCCTTAAAAACTTTGAAGACCCCAAACAATTTGCCTATAGACAGGGTAGGAGCACTTTAGACGCTGCAGCCGTCTTACACAACAGCATCGTCTCATCATTAGATAAAGGTGTCAAATACGTCCGCTGCACGTTTCTCGACTTCACTTCTGCTTTCGACTCTGTACCTAGATGTCTCTTGCTAAATAAGCTCTCGGTTTTCGACATAGAACTTTGCACATATGTGCGGCAGTTCAAGTCGCCACACTCCCTCCTTGTAGCACACAAATAAAGAGAAGAAAGTAGAAGAAATGCATAATATAGACAGTAAACAGAGGTGTGAGATAAAGGAATAGTAATAACGGAGAACAAAACAGTTTAACTGGAAATCATAAGTCACAAAGAGTGGATGCATCTGCGCCACTGAGAACGATTTTGAGCCATGTCACCAATTGTTTCCAACCATTGGTTTTTACCGTCCCGAGGATCCCAACCAGTCAGGAAGTCTACACCTTCCTACGTGGCTGGCTTAGACTAACTGTTGTAGATTTCATTGACTGGTGCCATGTTTTCGTTTGACCGCCACTAGCTCTTTAGCAGCCTGGCCCTATATCAGCTAACATTGCCCATTGTCGAGGAAGGCGATGACTAGGCATACGTAGCACATGTCCTAACCATCTCAGTCGATGTAATTTCACAGTCTCGTCGACTGATTTCCCCGCCTTACCTAGCACTCGACGCCTAACCTCAATATTGCTCACCTTATTATACCACTTCACGTGGGAGATAGAACGCAGACACCTATGATCGAACACAACTAATCTTTTCATGGCTTCTGCTCTCAATGACCAGGTCTCACAGCCATAAAGGAGGACGAAGCGGACTGTTGAGAAATACACACGCCCTTTGGTCGATAGTCGGATATCACGTCTACGCCAGAGACGGCGTAAACTGGCGTATGCGAACCTAGCCCTCTGTATTCGTGCTGAGATTTCGTCGGAGATCAACCCGTTGGGGCTGATGGTACTTCCCAAGTAAGTGAAGCGGTCAACGTGCTCTACCACTTCACTTCCTATTTCTAATCTAGAAAAAAATAAGCTCTCTATGACAAAAACTGAGTCCTGAGTCACTAACTGGCTGCATTCCTACTTCTCGAACAGAATGCAGCACACCGTATGCAAAATTAAATCCTCCTCTGCTGAGCTCACTGAAGCTGGTGTCCCCCCAAGGTGCTGTACTCTCTCCACTTCTCTTTTCTTTCTTTCTACATGACTTACCATCTTCAAATGAGATTAATTTTGTCAAATATGTTGACGAACTGACAGTATCTTTGCCTGTCAAATGTCAAAGTGGCTGCCCTATACTTAATGGCTTTCAGTCAGAAATCAGCCAGCGGTCTAAGGAAAACGGTCTTACCTTAAACCCCTCCAAATGCCAAACAGTCAATTTCACCTTTTGGCATAAATCCGATCTAAACAAACTGGTTGGCTCTCACGAGGTGTGCAACATAGATGCCACTGAAATAGAAACCAAATCGGAATTTAAATACCTAGGTGTCATTCTATCTGCTGATCTCTCCTGGTAGTCTCATATCTTGGCGATTTCTAAGAAAATATTCCGTCTTACCTTCTACACCGAGAAGTTAAAACATTCTGGTATAAACCAACCCTTACCCCACAATTCGTTAACTCTCACATTCTGCCTATTATTCTCTATTGTTCCCCCTTAGTTTTTCCTGGGCTACTGAAGAAAGACTATAACATATTACGCAGGATGTTAAAGGTTGCCAGCAGGGTAAGCAACGTGCCACTTAACCAGCTTGTTAATATTCTGGTCGACAGGCACTTGGACTCATGTGAAAAATGGGCCAAATCCATTTTATCTAACTCACACCACCCTCTTCACTCACAACTCTCCCCTTCTATCTCATCAGGCAGAACCAGAAGCCTATACAAAAACTATATGCTATCACCAGCAAGTACAAAAACTCAACTATACCCTACTTAGCTCGTGCTCTGTGTGATAAAGAAAGCATTAAGCGTGACACCTATAATTCATTAAATAGTCAGTAGAAAAACTGGACCTCGTCTTTCCAACTCATATAATTTATCGGTACAACATTTTCTTTCTTTCTTTTCCTTTTCTCTCTCTTTTTCTGTTATGTGCTGCTTTGTTTCTTTCTTCCGCTTACGCCAGTAAATGTTACAACACCTACTTTTCTAACACCTTCAAACACTGTTCAGCTTTACCTTTGCTACCGACATGCCAATGTGTTGTTGTAATAATGAACTGAGATTTCCTTAATCTATTTAGAATTCTATTTATTGATAATGTACTAACTGGATGCAATACTGTAGTAAAAATGTTGAGAATTCCATTCTGTATCACAAGCACTTTTTCGGAATAAAGCAAATTATTTCTACGTGCGCCTCACACAACTGCACATTCCAGGACAGTCGGTGTAAGTTCTTCGTTAAAAACCATTATACAAGCTAGCGGTGGTTAATTCTTACCAATTAATATGCAGGGCATTAAATTCACCTACCATTAGACACGTATTTCTACTACGCCACGCCCCCAGGTGATTTCGTACGAAGTCGTCAGCTTGGACTGCAGGATCTTTACATTACCCTTATTCAGTTTGGTAACATGACTTTTGGCTTCACTAGCACGGCCATCATTGCTTCTGAGACCGTTGACCCAATTCCTATGCCATCTCGAATGTAGAGAGCAAGCCCACCACCTTTCTTATCAACTACTGTATCTGCTCCAAAGCAAATACACTCTGGTATTAGCGGAGTGAGGTCCACACCCATTAACAACTACGTTTCATTAACTGCGGTAACACCATGTTGTAGTATTCCAGATAATGCTCCTATTTTGGAATCTTGCCCCTGTGACTATATGCGTTCGTATAAATCTACTTGTTCACCTAAATTCTGAATATACATCTCGAAAACGTAGGTTTCCAAGACCTCACCACCCAAAAACCCCTTATTTTAAGATTCTTTCCTCTTTTTCTTACCGAGCCTCTAATGTGCTACCGCTTCTCTCCTTTTAGTCCTATCCTGCAAAGTTCAACTAGGCCTTGTTCCCAAACTTCTATTCTTGATATTATTAAAAAGAAAGCTGTAGTGAAGAAAATTTACTTTCTGATGAGGTCATAAACTTGACTTCTGCTGAGAATAATATTCTTCACCACCCCATTCTTTAGTACTGTTTTCAACCGTCGTCGAGAATTTTTCATGAAATCAGTATCTCATTTGC